ACCTATGGATTTCTGAAAGGCAAGAGGCAACACAATCACAGCTTAACCCATCATATAGAGCCAGGAATAGCTGGTAAGGGGGTGGGGGGATAGGCGGATAAGCTGACAGAATTGGGGATAGTCTTCCTGGCTGGGTTTAGAGGCTACATGCCAAACAGAAGTCTTGGAGCAGGAAGAAATGACTTACCAAAAAAAATGGTATTTGGAGACTATCTAGGAAGAGACAGAAGATAGGACTTTCCACTGAGAAAATGTCCAGAACTAAATAGAGAAGTACAAATATAACCTAGGGTTTCAAACCAGTTCAGGAAAATATCGTCTCAGTGATGGTGGTCATACTCATATGTGTTACCAAAAAAAATGGTATTTGGAGACTATCTAGGAAGAGACAGAAGATAGGACTTTCCACTAAGAAAATGTCAAGAACTAAATAGAGAAGTACAAATATAACCTAGGGTTTCAAACCAGTTCAGGAAAATATCGTCTCAGTGATGGTGGTCATACTCATAGGTAAAGTAAATGAGTTGATCAGGAATGCTCAAGGCCTACTGGCACTTTATTCTTTTAATGACTGAGATATTATATAACATTTCTGATAATTTGATGTCTTGGCAAAATGAGGATACTTGTCCCATATTTCAGATAACTCTAAGAATGCTAGGAAAGGGCGATATGCCAATGAACAATGTTACATGTATGGCTCGATGATATTTTATATTTTCTCCCTTTTCCTCATTCAAGCAGGTGGCCAGCTCTATGCTTCCTTTCCTCACAGAGATCTCAGAAAGCAGAAGTATCAGACAGGAATTCCTGTTTATGTTCTCAAAGCCCAAGCCTACAAGAGATCTATAAATCTATAGATCTATAGATTCATAGGTGATCTATGAATGAGCAAAGAAGGAAAAAGTGTTTTCCCCTCAGTGGCTGAGAGGGTTAGAAGGACAAAAGCATTTCTATAGTCTACATAGCAATACCCCCAACATAGGAGAACAGAAAAAATCCTGAGGGGTCCAAGACCTGAGCCACAAGTTCTGGCAACCCCTGAAGAGTCTATAATATTCCAGAGAGGAATAAATGCATACTGTGACTAGGGACATAAGTCCCTAGGCTTAGGGTTCCCAACCTTAGGAAGTTCCCTAAGCATGGTAGGGAGGCAATCTTGATCTGAAACAACTGTAGGACTGGGGGGCAGCAAATACCTTACCAGGGACTTCTCTGTACAGGTGACTCACCTGAGACCTGCTCTCCCCCTGACCCCAATGCTTTGGCCCTGAATAATCCTCCAGAAACTTTGGGGATGGGGGAGTGGGGAGGACAGTGAAAGTCCCAAGCATAAGTCAGGAACTTGAGGCAGAAATTAGAACTCTAATAAAAAATAAAATGAAGAATTCTATTACACATCAGAGTTTGTGAAATGAAATTTATCTCCATTACCCAATGCAAAAATTCTTGGGGAAAAATCATATAACAAATGATAGCAAACACTTATATAGCACTTTCTAGGTACCAGCATTGTTCTAAGCATTCCAAACGTGCTAACTCTTTGATCTTCACATTATCCTAGCCCTTTGATAGAGTTTGGATGTGTTGTCCCCTCCAAAACTCATGTGGAAATTTGATCTCCAATGTGGCAGTGTTGGAAACTGATTGAGTCATGGGGGCGGATCCCTCATGAATGGATTAATGCTCTCCCTGGGGGAGGGGGGAGTAATGAGTGAGTTCTCGCTCTATTAGTTCCCACGAGAGCTCGAGAGCTCGTTGCTTTAAAAGACCCTGGTACCTCCACTCTCTGTTGCTTCCTCTCGCCATGTGATCTGCTTGTACCTGCCAGCTGCCTGCCACTTTCCACCATGAGTAGAAGCAGGCTGAGGCACATGTCAGATGCAGCTGTCCCAGAATTCTAAGCCAAATAAACCTCTTTCCTTTATAAATTACCCAGTCTCAGGTATTCTGTTATAGCAACACAAAACAGACTAAAACACCCTACGAGGAACATATCATTATCCCCAATTTAAAGAGGAGGAACTTGAAACAGGGTAAGGTTAGAGAACTTGCTTAGGACTACATTGCTGCTGATGAGTGGCAGAGCCAGTGTTCAGAGTTGAAGCATGTAGCCACCACTGTAAGCTTTCTCTCCAAAATCTCTGACTAAGGCACACTTTTTAGGATTAAGTAAAGCAAAATTCACAAAGTGAATATCAGTTTCTAATGGAGAACTTGGTTCCAAAATATACAACCCTCTCCGAGAGAATTTTTAAGATGAGCAGGTGACAGCTGACTCTTCCTTCTTGATAATGCTAGATGACTTAGAAATCTTCCTGGATGAGGAAGACATACTTGTCCCTCTACATCTACCTGCAAAGGATGAAACCCCTCATCTCCCTGGTTCTCTGGCCTTCACTGGGATGGTATAAATCAGAGGCTCTGGAGTATGCCTGATAAATGGGGAGCAACATGTACTGACCAGTTTGATTTAGAGTGATTCTCTCCTGTTTGTAATTTTAGTGAAAAACCATTTAAATATGGCCTTGAACTGCACTGGCATTTTCCATGTCATAATTAAAGCAGAAACTGAAAGTTACAAATCCCCAAGAAGTTCCTGCATCAACTCCTATTAGGATGTGTCTGTTTTTATCTCTGATCATTGTAGTTAGTTTTTCATTCCAAAGGACTAGTAAAAGTTTGGTGTCTTATTAGTATTGGGATTGGTTCTGCAGAATGCGTTTTGAGCTAAAGTGTTATTGGAGTCCCTCCACCCCACTGTGTGAAAAGCTAGAGAGACTTGAGATTTCCAGGTGCTATTTAACCAGCACTGTTCTAATTAGAAATCATACTACTTACTAAGGAGTTGGTAGTGGTTATAAAATCATGTGTTATTTTCTTTAAAAGGTAAAAGGAACTTAAGATAGTGGAGGTTGAATCATTTCCTGAGTGTTACTGTTTATCTTGGACTTCTTGACTGCCCCAACATGATCCCCTAAATTGCTCAAGGAACTCTACCTACATGTTGCCCCTGGCCCCACTGACTGACTCCCCCCAGCCTCCTCCTTCACTGCTTTCCTTCTTTCTCTTTTACATTTCACTCACTCTAGAAAAGCACTACTCTGTCCCAATATAAAGGATATTGAGTGTAATAGCAAAGAAACCCTTATACAGCCTAGTTTAAAAAGACAACTCTCATCTTAAGAAAAAAAAGCAACCTTAACCCCACATTTCCCTCCACAGCTGCTACCTCATTTCTCTACTCCCGTCTTTCAGCAAAACTCTTGAAATAATTGTTCTTATACATTCACTGTATCTATTTCCTCTCCTCCAATTCCTTCTTGAAACCACCACATTCAGCCTTTCATCTCCACTGCTTCACCAAATTGCTTTTGTAAAAGTCATTGATACCAGCATATTGCCCACCCTAATGGTCAAATTCCCATCACCCTTGGCTTGTCAGCAGTATTTGCACAGTTGATCACTCTCTCTTGCTTGGTACGCTTTCCTCACATGGTCTTGGAATAAAATTATCTGTCATTGTTCTCCACCTCTATAGCTGTGCTTCTCTGCTTTGCTGGGTTTTTCTTACCTACCTGATCTTTAAACAGTGAAGAGCTTCAGGATGTGGTTCTCAGACTTGTTCAATCTATAATTGCTGTCTGGTTAGGTGTTCCTGGTCCTAATCTCATCCAGCCATTCAAAAGAATGTATTATATGTGTTGTAATGGAACAAACTTCAGGATACATTGTTAAATGAAAAAAAAAAGAAAGAGAGAGAGAGAAAAAGATGGCAAGCTGGATGTGTGCAGAAGTTTGCGGGGCTGACAACACAGAGATACAAAATTATTCTGAAAGCCATGAGCACAAAATAAACCAAGAAGTCACATTAAAGAGCTGAGAATGTAGCCCCCCAACATGTAATGGTTTTGCCAATTTAACTAGAAGTTAGTTAAAAAGATAAATCAGTCATGCATCCCACTCACCAGAAATGTATAAGCCTGCTGGGGAAAACAAAAAATAAATAATTACAAAATAAGGAAAAGAAATGATAATTAGGAGTTACAGGAGCTCAGATAAATAGAGCAGCTTTTAAAAGCTCTGTAAAGCTGAATTATTTCTGATGTTTTCTTATTGCATGCTTTTAAAATAACTACTTTTCCTAATTGCCTGTATTATAAATTGAAATATCTTTTTTTAACAAATTTACTTTTAAATGATATATATTGAATGTACATATTTATGGGGTACAAAGTTATGTTATAATACATGTATACAACATGTAATGATCAAATCAGTGTAGATAGCAAATTCATCATCATAAAAATTTATTCTTTCTTTGTGATAAGAACATTTGAGCTCCTCTCTTCTAGCCATTTGAAAGCATACAATAAGTTATTGTTAGTTACTGATGCCCAGTACTACAGTAAACCTCTAGAACTTATTTTTCCTATCTAGCTATGATTTTGTGTTCAATAACCAGCCACTCCTTATCTTCCCTCCCTCCTTCCCTTCCCAGCCTCTTTAACCATAATTTACCTTCTACTTCTAGAAGTTCAACTTTTTATTTTTTTAGCTCCCACCTATGAGTGAGAACATGCAGGATTTATCCTTCTTTGTCTGACTCAGTTCACTTCACATAAAGTTTTCTGTTCCTCATCCATGCTACTCTCTATACTGTCAATCTTACAATCAGAATGGAAAAGCCTTTTAATAGGGAATCACTATACTCAAAAAATCCCAAGAACCCAAGAAAAACATAACCAAGGATAAATGCATGTACAAAAAAAATACTTTATTTCATTTTATTAAAGGGAAAGGGGTCAAAATGAACAATTAAACACTTGGAACACAGGGAGAAATATAAAGAGAGTGACCCATGCTGCTAGAAGATGGCCCAGCTGGAGTCTGAACCCAGGTCTGTCTAATTCCAAAGCCCATGCTCTCAATTTAACAGACTGTCTTGAATATAAATGCAGGTTTAAACTGTTTATAAAAGGAAGGAAATGTACCAGAACAAAAGAAAACATTCAATCTACAAGAGAGAAGGGATTGTTGGTGACACAAGCCCCAGCGAAGAACTGGAGAAATACAAGAGACGTCCGAAAGTAGGTATATCCACAGAAACACTGTAAAGCAAACAGAAACAGAGAGGCAGAAAGAGTATCACTTAACTGCAGAAAGATACAAACTGTCTTAAAAACAATTTCCCATTTGTGATCTTTAGTGAAATCACTATTATTTTCTTTCATTTCCTATATCTGAAGGATAAATGGTACCCATCTCTCCCTCTTCTTGATTTTTGCTCTATGGGCAGGAGAAATTAAATCCAGGGCTAGATCTCTCCCACAGGCTGGAGATTTTTATTCCTGCCCCCTGACTTCTAGTCACCAATCACCCAAAGACTCCAATCGCACCTTCCCTCCCCGTTTCGTATGTGCCTCACCTGCTCCTACCCACAACCTTTGCTAAAATCACTGTGTCTGTTAAGCCTGATGCATATCAATGTCCCTTCTTAAAAATGCTGAAACACCTATTTTTCTTTGAAGTCTTCCTGGACCTAATCCCATGGATTCAAATCAGAGAATTTGATCAGTCCTCTACCCAGCAGCCATTAGCTGTGAATGTTCCCATGTGGTTTTGATTGTCTTGGTCTCACAAATATACATTTAAATTTGACTTTATCTTTCCTTAAAAATGTCATTGACTATCTCATTGACTGACCAGCTTAATTACATCTGGGAGACAGACAGATAATAGATAGAACACAAAATTTTTTATTAAAGCATGATTGATTTATACATATTTGTGGGGTATAAAGTTGAATATAAATACCTGTGAGAACACAAATGTTAACTGAAACTAAATGCATTTTTTTTTAATGTAGAAATCTTTGAGCTTGGTGATGCTGTTTCACAGTGGATTTATTGTATTATTCTGAGAACAACTTGCCACAGACATCAAAGTGACATTATATACTTTCTCCAAAGAAATGCACAGTGGGATATGTAAAATGTCAGAAATAATTAGACAAATTGTACAATCTCATCTTGACACTAACATACCTTTGGAATTCAATATCTGCTGTGAAAGTTTAAAATCTGATTTGAAAGCTGCTTATTATAAACAATATAATTTCTTTAATGTAATGGTCCCAGAATTTTTAGCATATTATATAATGTGAATATATGTTTTCAAATGTAAGAAAAGGCTTTTAAAATATTTATGAAAGAATACATACAAATAAGAAACTAATTAAGGTAACAAAATAGACTTACAATTTGGTGATGTGTTCATTAGAGTTTGGAAACAAACAAACAAAAAAGGCAGCCTTGAGGAATAATGTAAAGATGAACTCAAATTGCAGAGATGAAAAAGAAAACTACACCTAAGAGGTGTAAAGAGTTTATGAATACCAAAATGTTATCATGTGTTCCAGGAAAAATGTGGCTTTTCATTCATTAACCAGTAGCATATTTTCCAGGAACCGTCCAGGCAGAAGAAATGCTGTGGTCCTTCCCTTTACCCACAGAAAGTGGAACACAAGAGACTACATAGCTGAAGAAATTGTATCCTCCTTACAAATGAGAGACATTCAAGGCTACGTAGTTTCCAACAGCTTCTCCACAGTGCAGACTGGAATAAGGAAAACATGAATATCACAAACTGTACCACAGAGGCCAGCGTGGCTGTGAGACCCAAAACTGTCACCGAGAAGATGCTCATCTGCATGACTCTGGTTATCATCACCACCCTGACCATGTTGCTGAACTCGGCTGTGATCATGGCCATCTGCACCACAAAGAAGCTCCACCAGCCTGCAAACTACTTGATCTGCTCCCTTGCTGTGACAGATCTCCTGGTGGCAGTGCTTGTCATGCCCCTGAGCATCATGTACATTGTCATGGACAGCTGGAAGCTTGGGTACTTCATCTGCGAGGTGTGGCTGAGTGTGGACATGACCTGCTGCACCTGCTCCATCCTCCATCTCTGTGTGATTGCCCTAGACAGGTACTGGGCCATCACCAATGCTATTGAATATGCCAGAAAGAGGACAGCCAAGAGGGCAGGACTGATGGTCCTCACTGTGTGGACCATCTCCATCTTCATCTCCATGCCCCCTCTGTTCTGGAGGAGCCGCCGCCGACTCAGCCCACCCCCCAGTCAGTGCACCATCCAGCATGACCATGTCATCTACACCATCTACTCCACACTTGGGGCGTTTTATATCCCCTTGACTTTGATACTGATTCTCTATTACCGGATTTACCATGCAGCCAAGAGCCTTTACCGGAAAAGGGGATCAAGCCGGCACTTAAGCAACAGAAGCACAGATAGCCAAAATTCGTTTGCAAGTTGTAAACTCACACAGACTTTCTGTGTGTCTGACTTCTCCACCTCAGACCCTACCACAGAGTTTGAAAAGATCCACACCTCCATCAGGATCCCTCCCTTCCAGAGTGATCTAGATCACCCAGGAGAACGCCAGCAAATCTCTAGTACTAGGGAACGCAAGGCAGCACGCATACTGGGACTGATTTTGGGTGCGTTCATTTTGTCCTGGCTGCCATTTTTCATCAAAGAGTTGATTGTGGGTCTGAGCGTCTACACCGTGTCCTCTGAAGTGGCTGATTTTCTGACATGGCTTGGTTATGTTAATTCTCTTATCAACCCTCTGCTGTACACAAGTTTTAATGAAGACTTTAAGCTGGCTTTTAAAAAGCTCATTAGGTGCCAAGAGCATGCTTAGACTGTAAAAAGCCAAAAGGCATGACTTTTACCAGAGCCTCATGAGTGGTTGGGAGTCTAGGGGGCAACTTATTAATTCTTGAACATACTTGGTTCAAGAGAGTTTGTAAGTGTGTGTGGTCTTGGTTTTTTGTTTGTTTTGTTCTGTTTTGTTTGAGGCTTGTTATTTGCTGTGCTGTTTTCTACTTCTGGTCTTATCTGTGATACATAATTTCAAATAAACATTATCACACAAAAACAGAAATTTCATAGAAAATAATAAGGTGAAATAGCACATACTTTTTTTTTTTTAGCCATTTCAGTTAACCCTGCAATTAAAGAATGCCAAAACAAGTCTTTATGTGCAGAATTTCTTATTACTTATAAATCAAATATCTGATAATTTGCCCTCATGTACCATTAAATCTGAGGTTATGGCTCTATATGCATATATATCCCAGGGGGAATTGCATGACTACATAAAGAATAAAAAGAAAGTGGTGTCCTGTCATCTACTGCTTGCAGACCTGAGCTAGAGTCATTTACCATAGCACTGTGACTACATAGCCTACTCCTTTCAGACACAAACAGCACAGATGGTGTGTCCTTTTTAGTTCATGATTAAATAAACCTCCTCATTCTCTAATAAAGAACCAGAAATGAGTGCACTGGCACTTTCCTAAGTGTTTTACTACGAATATGAAACGTAAGCAAATAAGAAATCATCTAAATCTACTTTGGTCAGTGTGTTGCTACATTAACTGATAGACACATTGGGCCTCTTCCCATTCAAAAAAGTATCACTCCTAAGCTTCCCATACACTCTCTCACTCTAGCAGGATTCAGGTGGGAGTACACGTTGAATTTGGTGAGCTTTTTAAGAAGCTTAATGGGGTGCAGTGATCCAACAAAGAAATGTATTATCTGAAGAACTTTGTTGGAGAATGTTACTCATTAAATTCCCAGTTGTGAACTTGAAAAGAAATTAAAACGTTGAAAATCTATGTTTACAGAAAAGGCCACCTATCAGGAAATGAGTATGAAATTGTATCTTCTGGAATTCCTGTGGCTTCCACGCCAGACTGCACCCTGGGGCTAGGAGGCTGCAGGTGGGACAAGGCCACACAGGTGGCCTGACTCAGCCTCACCTGACCTGCAGTGACTGCTCACGTGGAGGAGCTCACCACTACACAGAGTGATGACAGAAAGGACTAAAAGTGTGCAAATTCCCGTATATGCCTAAGTAAGTGGCTATTCTAAACCTCTGCTCCTCGTCTCTCTCCCACAGCCTCTCTCCATCTCTCCACTCTCCTTTGTTGGCGGAGAAGACCACCTGTTTGCCTTCTCTCCACCTTCATGTTTTTAGCCCCAAATCTGTCCCCTCTCAATTTTTCTGTAATCTTGCTTCTCCCCCACCCTTTTCTCTCTACTTCTCTCCCCCCATCCCACCTCTTTTCCTACCCACTCTTCTTTAATTTCACTTATTAATTTGCTCCAGTCTCTTGACACCAAAATCACCTTCCTCTGGCCCTACCTCCCCATCAAGCTCCTGCTTCATCTCTCCCCTAACTCTCCCAGCTGAGCTTCTCCAATCATTAACCTACTCCTTCTTCCCACCTTCCACTGACTTTTCTATCCTTTGCCATCTGAGTATGCTCTCCCAGTTCTCCCAAACTGATCTCCCAAAGGTCATTGGTGACTTGCCAGCATCTTTCCCTGTGTCCTTATTGACCTCTCATTCTCTCATCAGTTGAAACAGTGAACCATCCCTTTCTTGTTTAAGCACATGCCTTCCTGATATTTTACTCTCCTGGCTCTCTAGCTGCCTTCTTACTCACCACCCCCCCTTCTCATTCTTTGTGTCCTTTTCTTCATCCTGGAGTTTTGTCCTCAGCAATAATCTCATGTATCTCCATATTCCATTCCAACCTCTATTATTTCAACCATTAGTTCCGTGCCTATGGCTCTTAAATTTGTGACTTTAGTTCTGATCTCTCTCTTTCTCAAACTCTAGATCCATGAATAACATCTGGTGAACATCTCCCTATAAATACCCCGTTGATACCTCAAACACAGACTTTCTAAACTGAACTCATGATCATCTTCCCACACTCAAGTCTTCTCCTCCTTCTATCTTCTCAGTCTCAGATAACAGAAGTACCATACCTTTTATCATTTCTATTTGATAAATGTGATTCTCTCTTTCACAATGTCTCTCATATCCAGATAGTCTTAAAGTCTTGTCCATTTACCTCTACAGAAACCCTTGTATATGCCACCTTATTCTTCAATAATTTGGTCCTCTCCCCTAGAACAAATCCTCCTTTTTTAAATTTTATTTTGTTTATTTTGGGTTTTTCATTATTACAAATCATGATTTTTCTTTATGCCTTTTACTCAACCTGTCCCTCCCCAAGTCCCCTCCCTCCCTCCTTCCCACCATCTCCAGTAACCTTAGGTCTGTTCTCTCCTTCTGAAAGTGGAATAAATCTTTTTATCTGAACTACCTGTCTTTGGACTCCTCCTGCAACTCTGCCCCCACACACCTGCCAGAAACGCCTTCCTAGAACAGTGTGAGGTTCTCAGAGTGATGACTCTAGACCAGCAGCATTAGCTTTACCTGAAAACTTGTTAAAAATGCAAAGTCTAGGGCCCCACTCAAGACCTCCTAAATCAGAAATTCTGAGAGTGAAGCCCTTTAATCTGTTTCAGCAAGCCCTCCAGGAGACTCTGATACATGCTAAAGTTTGAGAGTCACTACCTTAGAGCATACCATTGATTTTTAATTGCAATACTCAAAATCCTCCATTCTTTTTCCATCGGTATAAAATAAAGATTACTCAGTATGGCATTCAAGGCCCCTTCACAATATGGCCCCAAACTACTTTTCTAGAAGTCCAATGCGCTATCCATTGCGCCACGGAGCCACCTCCAAACTACTTTTCTAGAGTTATGTCTTACCACTTCTTCTCCCCCACCTCATATTCCAGAAAAGTCTGAACAATATCTGTGCTTTCAAAGTTCCCCCAACATTTGTCCCCACTGCCTTGGAAACCTGACCTCCACGGCTTCCCATCTTTCTTCCACCAAGCTTTCACCATGGACCTCAAATGCAATATCTTCTGTAAAGTCTTCCTGAGATCCTCCTTCCTTTCCTGTTGCTATGGAAGTCCTCTCTCCCAGCTCTATGCTCCATAAATTTCACATGCTATTATCATATGCATCCCATCTTCTACGCATCCTTTCTCTGTGTATTTGTGCTGTCTTTCTTAATAGATTGCGAGCTCCTTGAGGGCAGGGACTGTGTCTGTTTCATCTCTGTAACCCCAGGAACTCCTACAGTGTTCTACGCACAGTAGACACTCATTTAAATGTCCTTTCACATGAATGGAATTAAGTCCCTGGAAGAGAAAATATAAATGTGTCATCTTATCTCCGTGAGAAAAACAAACCTCTAAAATCCCATGGCACAATACTGACCTCCTGTTTTCCCAAAACTTACCTTGCCATTCCAGCTTTGTTCCCCAAAATGCGGGGAAATGCTTCTACATCAAAAGAAAATGGATTTCTCATTGAATATAAGTGAATATCCTTTATGAGTTAGGATGCCAGCTAAGCTACTCTCGAAAAAGAGATCCCCAAATATAGTAGCTTAAAAAAAAAATAGAAGTCTCTTTCTCTCACACATGACAGGCAAGAAACAGGAGGGCAGCAGAATGAGTAGGCTACTTTGCTCCACAGCGTTATCTAGGGACTCGCATTCCTTCATTGTATCTGTGGCTCTACCTTCCTCTCAGGACTTGTCCTCTTCTGCATGGTCAAAGCTGACTCACCAGCACACTTATGTTCCTGTCCATAGAAAGGAAGAGAAAGGTTTGGAGAGCAAACAATTTCCTTTTCAGGAAGTTGTGTGGAAATTGTACACAGCACTCCTTCTCAGAGTCCATTGGCAATAACTTGGTCATATGGCCATACCAAGTTGTAAGAGAGCAAGGAGAAGGGCCAGCCGGTTATCTCAGGTGGTTAGAGCATAGTGCTAATAACACCAAGGTCTGGGGTTAGATCACTGTACTGGCCAGCCACAAAAAAAAAAAAAAATTACCAAGAGTGACAGGGAGAGTAAGTTGCTAGCTGGCCAGCCATGTGCCTTGTTAAAAATGAGAGATGGGACCTTATAATAAAAGCAAGAAGAAGATGAACACAAGGGGACAATGAGCAGTCTCTGTCCCAAGGGGGTATGGGTTTCAGTATGAACAGCTCAAATATTACTGGGAAGTCATATGGCTGTTCAGCTAATGGTGATCTATGTACAAAGATGCTGACATTTAAATTACAGGAGATTTAACCTAGAATGTCCATATGCTGAAAATCTAGTATTTATCATGACTATAATTCGTAGAAAGTATAGGAGCAACTCACATTGCTTTCCCAACATCCTCCATATATCAACCTCAAAGATTCTTGACAATTACAAGTTTTAAAATTTTAAGAGTCTATGTAAATAAAAAGCAAAAAGCAATGGCATAACTAATTTTCACTTGTTCATTTTCACTAACTCATTTCCAATTTACTAGATAAGTCCTAATTAAATGCATTTCTCTCACAACTACCTTCACCATTAGCAAAGAAGGGACTTTATACATATACATTTCCTAGTATAAGCCAAACCTATTGAGAAGAAACAGCAAAAACTATTGTTTGGTTTGCTCATTTAACCGATAGTGCCAGTGCTGTCGTCCACTTTTGCCCCTTTAAATAAAAACTAGAGTGAAGTAACAGTACCTTTCAATATGATTGTTTTTTTAGTGCAAACATTAGTGCATTAAAAGTAGGCCCCAGGAGTAACATTACAATTAGAAATGAGGACTTCTCAGTTTGTATTCTTGGTAAAAGAATTATTGTACGTAAGTCACTCCTGGGTAGACCTGGCAGATCCTTTAGTAATAATGGGTGGTTATAAGAACCCTTATTAACATTGCTACTGCTGTCTGCTTAGGATAACAGTATAGTCCTTCCATATTTACGGACTTCAGTTTGCAAACTCTGATACTTATGTACAAGGTAAGTTTCCAAACAAGGTCTAGCAACTGTGCTGGTTACCAGCACGAGGCACTTTTGTTTCAACCATCACATTGGTCTTAGTCTACTAATGTGTGTTTGCTTAGTTTTTAAGGTCTTCTCCACACAACTTCTTATTCCATTATGCACAGCATTTGCAAAAGAATGAAAGCATCAGAAAAGTGCTAGGTTCAGTGAGACAGAGAAAAGGAAGAGAGACCCAAGCCAGGCGCTATTTCAGCTAAGAAGATTTATTCCACCAGCATGGAGGGGAGACTGAGTCAGATCAACTCCCC